ATAATTAGTTACTTATTCGTAGTATTGAAAGACTCACAATAAGTGGAATATTGCGTATTTAACACACGGACAACATATATTAGAAATAATGTTTATGATGTGTACAATTGTGTGAGAGATTCTGTGATTGAAAGTGTGTTTTGCATATGAATTCGGAATATGATTATGATCGGATTGTGTTAATCATAAATTTAATATGTCCTTGTTTGATATAGATTAAAATCAGATTTTTAGTAGATTTTAATATAAGTTAATGAAATGTGCGATTGAAAAGTTGCGAATCCCATAAAATGCGTGGTTAAAATTAATTGTTGAATTTGACTTGAGATTTTAATTGAAATTTAATCCATACCAAACATGGGCTATATCTTGGAAGAGAATGTTAGATATTAATGAATTATTGATTGTCATGAACACATTAACCGATCTAACTTATATAAGTCAAGAATTGAAACTAGACATCAATATGTAGATTTTGAAATCCAATACATTTATCTCATCTTTGGATAAAAACCAATCTTTTATTGCTTTCATAATTTATATTAGAATAATAACAAAAACAAATCTCTTTTATATTACATTAAATCGGATTTGATTATAACTAGTAAACAATAATTATAATTATTTCTTGTGGGACATTACTTTTAACTTACTAAATCTATTACTTATCAACGATCTCGTATACTTGTAGGTTTTGTCCGAACAATTGTCACGGGCTTGCAAGGGCATAGTTACACGGATTTCCATATTAAGGGGCTTGGTCACTTGGGTTTTCATTCAATCTATGAGGTTATATGCTTTCTTAGACTTGTCTTTGAGATGAAGTCTGTTACACCCTAAAATAATTATTGTCCACTTGAATTTCACATCAACCACAGAGGGTTCAATTGCATGCCGATGTGTCCTTGAACATTTGCATCTCGACCGTTGAGATATTTGAGCTAAAAGATGCCTTGCCCGTGGAGGCTCCATTAACCTCCCGTTTGACAACCATTATTTGGGTAAAATAAAATTTANAAAAAAAAAAAGTTTTGAAATAATGATTTTCAAACAAGGGCTAAGTAGCAGAATGCGTATAACTCTAATGTTAGAAATGTGGTTGAAGGCGTGGACCAACAACATGACTAAAGGCCTCGAACGTGGACGGAAACAAACGAGCAATGCTATGTGTACAAAATTGTGTTACAAAATTTTTCGACAAAATGAGTGTGGCAATATCTAGGCCATTGATTTAAAAAACTACTTTTGAAATCATTGGACTAGATCTTGCTAATTGCTACTCATTTTGTAAACTAATTTTGAAACTCAATTTTGTATACATAGCATTGCTCGAAACAATAATGCAAACTCCAACAAAACTGTCTTTGAAATTAATTGTCTAAATCTTGCCACACTCATTTTGTAACATTATTTATTCCAAATTAGTAACTGATGTTTCAATATTGTTAAGTTAAATCACCACTAACTATTTTTTCAAGAACTCCGAGGCATAAAATTTTCTTACCAGGATGTCACTTGACGTTAGTTTTCTGCAGTGGCTAGAAATCATTGCAAACTGCGCTTTAAGCTCAAGAACGATGATGTGTAAATGTGACTTTTACATAGGAGCGATGTTTGTGTGTGAATCTCAAGTGCACGATATCGCTAACAAATAATAAAGTGTATGAATAGAATGACTATTCCACGAGGTTAGTACTATCAAATATTAAAGTTAATTCATCCTAAATTTATCCGTATAAGAAAAATTTAAGTGTTAGTTAGGTTTAAACTATTAAACCGTTCTCTTAATTTACACTATTCATTAGTGTTGACTAACGATTTCCTGAATTGTATGACAATTTCTTTAGAGTTGAACTTATTTTCATATATAAATTTTCTATATTTATATAAATATTACGAACGCACAAAAACATATTAAGAACTACCAAATATCAATTAACGATTGCACAGACTATATCGATTATTTCTACCCTTATTGAAATCCGTGATATTTGTTATAAAGTTAAAACACATATTTCATCTCTCATTATCAATATGATTATCAAATCAATCAAAATTTTAACCAGATATAAGAAAGCAATAAGATCAATAACAAAGAATCAATATCAAATTTATATTTAGAGTACAAATAAATAAAATTAAAGTATCAAAAGTGCAGTTTATATCATAGTTCTAGCTACAAAAAACTTAGCTACCTATGTTCAAATTGTACAAACACATCTTAAAAGAACCACATTAACCGGTTTTAAGAAAAGTGAAGAAAACTTAGCTACTTATCTTCTTCTTCTTCCTTTTTTTTCCCTTCAAAACCTAGGTTTAATGTTACGTGTATGCATCTTTTCCTTTTAGAATGTTCAATCCTCTAAGAACGTCTCTAAGAGATCCTCAATTTATAAAAAGTACATTTTATATGACAAATAACATTTTTAAATTTAGAGATTATTTTTCTTAATACACTCCAACAATACTCTCTAATTTGACAATTTATTTTATTCTTTTCAAAAAAAAAAAAAAAAAAAAAAACTTATTGATATCTCCTTATTCTATTCTCTATTTTAAAAGGTTAAAATAGAAAGTCTTTTAGACTTTACTTTTAAGCATTCTTCGTATGTTGTTTTGAAAATGCTCCAATTATAAAAGAATTGGGTTCATATAGGTGCAAAATTATAGTTGACAATTCGAACACAATGTCTAACTTTGTTTTGTTCTGAGCGAAATATTCCTACAATTAACGGTTTTAGATATTGATTTACATTGATTGAAGTTCATTGGCGGATGAAAACATTTTGAATTAGAAAAACACAATCAAACATGCAAAAATAGAGGTGAAGATCATAAGTAGCACATTTACATCCGCTACATTTCTTCCTCAAATTTCAGTCTTCCCCATCTCTTCCTCTGTGTCACTTATGCTTTATAGTATTGTGTTTATGTCTTTCCTATTGCATATTGGAATCTCAATGAAATCACAGGTAAATGTGTGTGGGTGACTTTAAATAAAATCAACATCATATATGGTGATATAAATGCTACTTGTTTTTGGTACTATTAAAAATTGTAGCAAATATTATGATGCGTCAAAGTATCCAATTTGAAAAGTTAGACGCTTATTTTTAAGACGCATGTTTGAAATATATTTAATTATTTTCAAAGTCCATCTGGATCTTTCGATATATCTGTCATGTGGTTCTCGAAACAAACTTCGAGATGATGTATGCAATTTATGGATCCGGCTAGTGTATGATCGTTGAAGAATTTTTAAAGTTAACATGTTATCAAAATTCTCGAAATACTAGTTTTGAATGTGCTACTTTGACGTGTCTAACATTTGTTACGATTGGCCGTTTCGTGTACTGTTAATGAAGGAAAAACTAGGCCGTGAATACTTCAAAATGGTTTGAAGAATGCAATATTTCATTTTCGTTTGACATCCCGTAATGACCCCAAAAATTGAGACCAAAAATAGAAAATTTAATGTGGTTAAATAGGGGTTTAACTTGTACACATTTTTTATGGCATATCAAAGTAGAAAAGTAGGAATTGATTTAAGTCCAAAAAAATTGAGACTCTGTCATTTGGATGTAATAATTACATTTGGGTTCCATTTCAAAATCCTAAATCCTAATCTTAAAATCAACGATCAAGCATTTTGATTATCCAATAGCATAAATGATCAAGCCTCCCGAAAATATTCACAATGTTGATTTTTGATTTATATATAAAAAAATTAAGTTAAAAGTTGGTAGGTCACGTGACCCCAGTGGGTCTGCCAATGGTGAAGTTAATAGCTATTTTCATCAAAATTTCACTCTTTCCCATCTCTTCGAATTCGTCTTGCATCGCAATTTCGTATTATATTTTCCAAAATTCCACATGCACTATTTTTCACAAATTTTGTATAACTTCTTCCTCAAATGCACCTTAATTAAGTTCGGATTTCGTCCTAAAACAACTAAAAAAGGACATAGAAATAAATAGCAATCTATCCCTAATCTCTAAAAAAGCATCGTTTATAGGCCGAGATTATCGTATGTATAATTAATCATGAAGAAAAATTAAAGAAGAAAGAAGTAATAACTTGATCCATGATTTGAGAACATGCCATTGTCAACTTAGAAATATGTTTCCTTTTCTCTCTCAAACAAGTACATTTATTTTGAAAAATGTATTAGGACTAGAAACAACCGAGTTAAAAAAATAAAATAAATTGCAATTTTCGAAAATAGTTTTAAGAATTTTCATCTTTTCGAGATCTTTATTCAAGATTACTTTCAAACTTATAAATTAAAATTAAATACCTCAAAATAATAACAAACAAATAAATAAAAAATTGAGTGGATAGTATTTTGAAAGAGATCCCCTCTCCTTAAAAAGTTGAAATGCATTTCCATTCGACTAGAGAAACCAAATACATAGGATTATATATCTTCTCTCACTAGCATTAGCATATTCAGATCGCCATACATATATTTCTTAGCTGCAATTTTTCAGGTAATCTTTTTAATATGAAAAATATGGCACAAAATTTGTTTATGATAATCTGTGTATGTATACACATGCATGTACTTTCTCGATCCATTTTTTTTTTTACAGTTTTATGAATCTACTTGTTGGATTTTATTTTATTTTTGATAAATATTCTATTGATTTTTTCACGTTTTCTTTCACGTAAGCACATGTAATATTTTCTTCTCTAATTTGATTATATCGAAGAATTCATACAGGAAAGTAAGAAACTGAAATATATTTTTGGTGATTGAAGAATTGATCAAGATCTAAAATATATTCGATATGCTTAAACGGATATATTTATGTATCTGTGTTTAAATGAATGAGTTTACGTAAATCTAATTTTAAGAATATGAGCCTGGATTTTTTTTATTTTTTTTTGGGCAATAGTACCTAAAATTTCAAACTGATATTCTGAATGAAATTTCAGAGAGATTATGTTGAATCCAGTTTTCGAAGAAAATCAAGTTTCTCAGTAATTTGGAGTCGAGATGGAGTCGAAGAATCGCTGGAAAGGATTGATGAAGTCCTTTGGGAGACATATTGATCCTGAGAAGGAAGATCAAATAGAATGTGTAAAAATAGGTAAGTGTTTCTTATTTTTAAAAGGATAAGGCGAGGGAGATGGGACAAATTTATTTATGCAAGTTATATTTTCGACAAATCTCCTCACACGTAGGCTAGATTTGATTTACTCATCAAATAAGCGAACACATCCACAATTTTCATAAATAGTTGACATTCCCAACCTTTGCTATTGTGTTAAATCACCTCGTTTAAAAGCTTAAGCTATTAGAGAAAGGAAAATACGTGAATACTTTTTATTCACCGAGTTTGGTTCATTGCTACGTCTACTAATTGAGTCAGTAAATTGCTTATGTTTGTAGTTTCTGTCCATAATCACACAGTTGGATGTTCAAGTACTAAAAACTCTCGAGTGCATGTTTCATTTTTTGCAGAAATTGAGAATAAAGTAAGAAGAATTCTTAAACTCGTCAAAATCGCGGATCAAGGCAATAGGGAGAATAGGATGAAGATAAAGTCAAATCTTATCCTACAGATTGAGGATTTCCACGAGCAGTACCAATCCCTCTACTCTCTTTATGAAGATTTAAGAGGAGAAGTGAGAAAAATGGTTTTTAAGGATAACTCAACTTCAGCAAGTGAAACTATAGATGAGCGGTCAGAAAGTGCACGACGAATAGTGAAAGATGACAGCAAAAAAATGGTTCAGAGGAAGGGCGACTTAGAGGATTCAGCCTCGATCTTGAATTCCAAGATTGAAACCCTGTTTGCAGAAAAAAGAAAAATGGAAGATCGCATTGATTGCACGCCGAAGGAAACTAAAGAACTGAAAAGGAAGAATTCAGAATTGGAAGGACAGATTTTGGAACTTGAGGCAATATCTAAACAGAAAGATGATTATTTTTCCGCTCTTACGAAGACTTTGGAGGAAAATGAAAAAGGCTATAAATATAGAATCGAAGGCCTCGAGGCACAAGCGAATGAACTGCAGCTCCAAATTAATAATTTGCAAACTCAGAAAGGTGATTTGGAACAATTGTTATCATGCAAAACCGAAGAAGGATCTTCACGAGTCGAGGACTTAACGAAAGAAGTTAATTTCCTGCATCAGGAGGTGGAGACTATGAGATGCCAGAAAGCTGAATTGGAGTTGCAACTCGAAAAAAATTTGAAAGAAACATCAGATTTCCTCATTCAGATTGAAAATTTGAATGAGAATCTGAGGAAACAAAATTTGAATGAGCATGGGATAATTGAGGAGAAGAAAGGCCTAAAACTGCAGGTAAAAGATTTACAACTTGAGGTTAATTCTCTAAACAATGAAGTTTATCAGTCGAGGATCGAAAAAGATGAACTTCACAGAAAAATTTCCGAATTGCAAACAGATCTTTTGAACAAGGAAAACGAGCTATTTTCTCAGATTGCATCATTTGAAGAGAATGTTAAATATCTCGATACCGAGTTGGCTGCATTGCAAAATGAGAGAAACAGATTGACATTCGAGCTGGAGACGGTGAAACAAAGTTCTTCGATTAACATTTCAAACATGGAAAAGAAAAACGTCGAATTAACTAAGAAGATAGCAGAACAGGAGGGTATTATAAGCAAAATTAAGGATGAACAAAAACAACAGTCGAAATCGAATATCCAAATGGCGGAAAGAAAGATAGAAGAACTAGCAAAAGATTTTCGAAAACAGTTTGAGGACAATCTCCGGATCCTGGGCCGGAGAATTCGAGTTGTAGAACAGTTAATTGCCGAGAACAAGGAGCATTATCTGAAGATGAAGGAAGAGTACGAACAAGAAAATAAGCAACTCAAAGAAAGATCTGGAAAAACTGAGGTTAATGTTAAGGAATTATCATTAACAGTAAATGATATGCTGAATTCAGTAGACACAGTGAGATTAAAGTTTGAAGAACGCAATACGAATTTCTTGAATAGAATTTCCAAAGTTTCTTGTGATCTGCAATTTGCAAAGGATTGGGCGATGAGGAAAAACAAAGCAGCAATGCTGTTGGAAGACGATGGTAAAGTGGATTGGATAATATTGGACAATGATGAAGAATAAAGAAATTAACGTACTAATGTACTGATATGTCCAGTATTGCATACTAAAAGCGCGATGTACTATAAATTTGAGCTTAAGATTTAATTATTGCATTGAGGAATCAATCTTGAATGACTTTAGATTAGTCGAGAAGCTAAAATCTTATGTATTGCGCTGACACTTTTGTCAGTATTGCGTATCAAACTCGACATGAAGTATAACTTTGTGCTTAAGATCGATTTATTTCATCGAGGAGTCAATCTTGAACAACTTCAGCCCCAAGTGAGAGGCTAAAATCTTATGATTTGTGATTTATTTCATCCACTTTCTTCGATTTGAAATATGCAGAGAATGCCATTATGTCGATTACTAAGTGAAAATAAACATATGTTAGAAATGGTATAAGAATTCTATTATGAAACGGGGTTGCTTGTTTTGATTGATATCACTTGTTGTGACACCAATAACCGGATTGAGATGTTGAATTTATATGGTAAATAATAATCAAGTATATGATAAAGCGAAAGAATAATAAAGACAAGAATATAACAGAGGAATTAAGAGATCTTATAAACTCAAGAATAATAGAGAAGATGGAAAATTACAATGGATCCTATAATTTTAGTAATCTATTGTCTCACACTTAATTGTTTTAAATTTGTATAGAAGAGTCTACTATTTATAGGGAACATATAGGGACGTCCAAACTCTTTTGGTAGATTTGTTGATGAAGTAGAATGTCCAAAATACGAGTCCAAAACAAAGTAAAAATAAAAAAAGTGGAAATCCCAGATGCCACGACCTTGGCGCCAGGTCTCGAGCCAAAAACATCCAAAGTGCTTACAAAGCAATTTTCTCCATTCAGAACTATTCTTCAAATCCAATACTAATTTTCAACTCTCAATGAGCTTCCAAAATAGAACTTTAAGTTGATATAGGACTCCAATAGCATTTCAAACTTGAATTCTTCTTAACGTTCACTACAATTAGAATTCTTTAATACTTAAATACTTCAACAAAAGAATTTGGATCATACTCAAATTCTAACAATCTCCACCTTGACACGAATTCCACTCAAGGAATGAACTGACTTTTTCAACAATAATAAAAAAATTAATTTATCCAACAAAAAACACAAAACTCCACCCCTTCGAATGAATCCAAACACTACCCTTATAGAATTATCTCAGATTCCAAAAAAATCATATAGATTTTATAACTTACCAAAATAAGCTGTAACATACCCCAAAACAGAATCAACACCAAATGCTTCTAACGAAAGCTCCTTGCTAGATTGAACACCTTTTTCTTCACTTAAAGCATGCTCAACAAAATCAACATCCACATACCTTGTTCCACTGGGTCTAACTCTAGCAACTGAATACAATGGCACTGTAGGTGATGGTGGCAAAGTGGTCTTCAAATTTGACCCTTTATGAGCTCCTAAAGGTATTGTACCAAACTGAATGTCCACCGTGGTACCGAACTTGTGTTGATTGACTCTTTCAAATTCCGTACGACTTTGGAAGATGTATAACTGAGACATTTTCTGTCCCTCTAAAATAACCTGTGCACCCTTACAAACTTTCAAAACTCCAATTCCACCAAAAAACTCATAACCCTTTGAATCAAAGATAGATAAAGATATGAGATTTTTCTTCAATTCTAGAACATGTCGAACCTGGCCAAGTGTTCTAATTGTTCCATCCAAAAACTTCAATCTGATTGTACCAATTCCAACAACCTGACAAGATGCATCGTTTCCCATAACCATGGCACATTTGGAAATGGTTTTATATGTAGCAAACAAATCCTTATTAGGACATAAATGAAATATACAAGCTGAATCAACAATCCAATCCTCTTCTACTTTAGACTCGACGTCAGAAATAGCCAAGACATCTCCATCACTTACAACGTTCTCCGCGATCTCTACTTCACCTGAAGTATCTGAATATTTACTTGCAGCCATCTTTTCTTTATTCTACAATTTGTAGCAATCTTTCTTCAAGTGCCCCTTCTCCTTGGAGTAGTTGCAAATTTGATTACTAGATTTCAACTTCGATCTGCCCTTTCTAGAACCACCATGACTAACCAGACCCTCTCCATCTCTAGTCTCAGAAACTAGATGCTTCATCTTTTCTTTTGAAAACAAAGCATCATAAACCTCCTCAATGGTGAGAGTATCACGATTATATAAGATCGTGTCTCTAAATGAAGAAAGAGAAATGGGCAACGAACACAATATGATCTAGGCCAAATTTTCTTCATCATACTTAACTTCCAATGTTTCTAAATCAGCGATGATCTCCTTAAATACAGTTAGGTAATCTTCCAATGATCCTTCTTCTGCCATGCGATGAGAGTATAATCCCCGTTTGAGATGCAATTTGCTTGTAAAACTCTTGGTCATGCATAATTGCTCCAACTTCAACCACAAAGTAGCTGCTGACCTCTCCTTCAAAATATCCTGCAAAATGGAATTTGATAGATGAAGATGAATGTAAGAAACTGCCTTTTTATCTTTTCGTAATTTCTCTTCCATGGTCAAAGTTGTTAGTATCCTGTCAATACCCAGCAACGTATCATCCAAATCTAGTTGTGCGAGTATTGCAAGCATCTTAACCTATCATAGTGAAAATCTAGTGTTTCGATTCAAAAGCGGAATGTCATACTTCATGGAAGTCATCACGAACAAAAACTTCAAACAAATAAAAAAAAAAAACCCAAGCGCTGCGGAACTGCTGAACTTGGGCTCTGATACCACTTGTTATGAAATGGGGTCGCTTGTTATGATTGATATCACTTGTTGTAACACCAATAATTGGATTGGGATGTTGAATTTATATGGCAAATAATAATGAAGTATATGATCAAGTAAAAGAATAATAAAGATAAGAATATGACAGATGAAATAAAAAATTTTATTGACTCAAGAATAATGGAGAAGAGAGAAAATTACAATGGATCCTATAATTCTAGTAATCTATTTACTCACACTTAATTATTTTAAAATTGTATAGAAGAGCCTAATATTTATAGGGAACATGTAGGAGTCATCCAAATCCTTTTGATAGAGTTGTTGATGAAATAGAATGCCAAAAATACTAGTCCAAAACGAAGTAGGAATAAAAAAAAAGCAAAGTAGGCGCTAGGGCTGGAGCCCAGGCATCGGGGTCTCCGACCAAAAAATCCAAAGTGCTTACAAAGCAATTTTTGTCCATTTCGATCTCTTTTTCAAATCCAATACCAATTTCCAACTCCCAATTGGCTTCCAAAATAGAATTTTAACTTGATATAGGACTCCAATATCCAAAGTGCTTACAAAGCAATTCTTCTCCATTCCGAACTCTTCTTCAAATCCAATATCACTTTCCAACTCTCAATGGGTTTCCAATGTTTCCAAAATAGAACTTTAACTTGATATAGGACTCCAATAACATTCCAAACTTGAATTCTTCTTGATGTTTACTACAATTAGAATTTTTCAATACTTCAAATACTTCAACAAAAGAATTCGGATCACACCCAAATTCTAACAAATTCTATTTTCAACCTATATTGTATCTACTTTGCCATGAAAAAAAGGTGAAAATAAAAGTTGAAATTTCGACGAATCCCCAGTATTAGGGAGATCTTAAGGAAATTTTACGAAGTAAAGAACTTTTTGCAGAATGTATTCTTTAGATTTTATTATTTTTATTTTTTATTTATTTTTAATGAGAAAGAACAATTTTTTGTTTGTCAACAATTAACCAATGAACAAAAACTAATGTTGTAGAATACGGTAATAAAGATGATTAAAAGCATGAAGAATGAATTAACTAATTAAGATGACTTTTATAATATATATTTTTAATCACTTTGGTTTATTTGCAACCCTATCGTAAGTAAAACATATCTTTCTTCTTCAGCTTCTCCTTTGACATTATAAACCTCATTTTACTCAATCCTTTAAAAAAAGGATAAAAAAATGTTCTTTTCAATTTTTGTATCGCTTGATCTGCGAGTTAAATATTTTAGCACCCATCCAATTTTGGGTTTTATCATGGCTTACTTCAAACTTAATGATGCTTTCCACTGTCCATTCAATTTTAGATTATTGCACTTTATCACTTATCGGACATATTTCGTTTCACTTTTCGCCTACGAGGATGATGAAATTCATATGTGACACTTAACTCCATTCAAAATTTAAATAAGATGCCAACGTGGACACCAAGCCCTAGTACTTTTCACACCATCCTAGTTCCTAACCAAATCATAAATGTTTTAGAGAAATACATACTGCCCCACAACATTAGGTCTCGACTCAAAGTTTACGAGAGATCTTAATTCCCATCTCGACGTTCTTATGAACCACAAAAACATTAAGCAAGGAATTGTAAATGTCTGGCTGTACATCCATTATCATGGCTCATGGTCCCAACCGTGTTCACCAACTTACTCCACTCACCATCTCAATACTCACCCACAACCAATGCATTATAGAATATTTTGTAGCCTACTCTATAAATTCAGTATATGAAGGGATGAAAAGAGAGTTGAAGATTGTTAACCTTGGTGCAAAATAGAATTTCCCCCCTCTTCTCTTTATATGCTTTTCTCTATCGCTATATCTGAATCTGAATCCCTCTTCTCTTATTCCTTCTCTGAATCTATCCTCCACTTTCTCTCTTTCTTCTTCCTCTTTACTGTTAGTTTTGTTGTAATTGATCTTCATTATTGTAGTCAATATATTGGGTACTGATTTCCTTTCAAATTTTTGATCCATTCTTACTGATTAATTGAGTTTGGGTGTAAAGTTGAAGTCCAACCATAACAAATGGTATCATGTCATCCACAATCCTTGGGCGTATCTCGATTGGACAGCATAATGGAAGAAATAAATAAGAAGCATGGGCCAGTGATTTAAATGCTGACTGAATTGGCTCAGGGTAAATCAGCCTTCAAAGAGGAACAACAAGAGGTCGAAGATTCTGTAATTTTGTTATGGCTCTAATAGTGCTAAATTTGTGAGA